CCTGATAGGGCTGATGCCCTTATAGAAAGAGAAAAGATGCCAGAGCTTGCTCTTTCCATCAAATGAAGACAAAAAAAGAAGGTGACCATCCACAAGTCAAGAAAAGAGCCCTCAGCAGAAACCAACCCACCAAATCTCGATCTGAAACTCTAGCATCCAGAACTGTTACAAAATACATTTCAGTTGTTTAAGCCACACAGTCTATGAAATTTTGTATGGCACACTGAGATGACCAATACAATCACATGGACATTCCAGAAACAACCACCTAGAACTGGGCAGGTGGAAGTCCAATCACCTTTGAGATGACATGTGACATGTGCCCAGGAGTAGCATTTCACCTTCACTGATTGGTACCAAATGAATCCTCTGAAATCTTTTATTGGGAAAGCACAAATGCTAAGTGAATTAAGGAAAGTAGATTATGTGTGCCAAGTTTTAGTTCTTATCTATGCTGAACATCTTTTTCATTTCTCTTTAAAACATATGAAGATCCCAACTATCCAGATAGTCATCCAACTTTATAGGAAGTACTTGCTGAAAATCTGCTTTGAGATCTGTATTAAGGCTCTCTGAGTGTAAATAAATCTTACCTATCATGATATTCATCCACCTGGCGTAGTAGGTGGTTAATAAACCCTTGTTATAGGCTAAGTGAATGAATAAATGAATGAAATAATGAATTGGTAAAAAGTAGAGTGTGAGGTGACTCTAGTGTCTGATCAATTTTGTAAATCATTCCACATATCTTCTGACTTTCCAAAAACCTTCATTACCCTTGGTTTTCTATACACTTCCTTTCAAGAAACCTAAAGAAGCCTAACCAACATATCTTCATCCAGTTCTACACTATAAAGGAGGGAGGATTTGGAAGTGGAAATCTCAAGGATCATTCTGCTCACATGTACAGAGTGTTCCTTCAGATCTCTGTATGACTTCCTTGGACCCCATATCACAGCTGAGATGTTCAAATCATTTAAGTCTGTTTCATAATGTTCAAGAGGTGTGCAAGATTACATTCATTCTAAGTATAAGAAGCCACTACTTCTGTTTGCAAATATCAGAATACCCAACTCACAGGAACTTAAACCAATAGTTGTATTTTTTTTTTCTCTATATGATACAAATACTAGAGGTAGGCTGTCCTCGGCTGATCCCTTGATTCAATGATCCTTCAGTTCTGTGGCCTTTAAAAAATGTTTTCCAGATGGTGGCTTCTCTTCCAGGCATAACATCTGCTTTCTCATCAGTGAGAAATGGGAAGAGTATGCCTTTGCCTTTTTATTTTAAAACTCATCTTCCAGCCCACAGAGTTCTACCTATATCTTCTCAGCCAGTGTTTCATTGCATTGCCTTCCTTAGATGCAAGAAAGAGAGGAAGGCAAAGAAGAACTGAGTTTAGAATGTGTGTTGAATGAACACACATATGCCAGTATCTTCTACACTTTCTTAAGTAAGAAGAGTAAGTTTTGGAGAATGCCAAACAAGACTTGGAAGTAAGAGTAGCTTCTGAGAGTTCAGCAAAAAGCATTATGGCTATTTCTTTCATAGCCCTGCCTTAACTAAGCTCCATGACCAAGTCTGTGTCATCTAGTTTCAATCTGAATGGCCAAACCAGGATCAGATATCCCTACCACCCTTTGTGGGTCAGTCATGGCTAGGGGTCCTGCGAGCTGAGGACCAGGGTTAAATGGTTCAAACATGGGTTGTAGGGCCACTCGATATACTAATAGTACAGAGAAGAGGAGTCATTGGGAACAAGGGATCCTCAAAGCGGGTCTATTTACTCTTGGAGGAGGTGAGTGGATTGCAGGAAAATTCTTCCAGTATCACCTCCTGCTGCCCTCAATTGCTTCTAGATGTGTTTTTAGAGACCTTGGAGAACAGAGTTCTTGTCCGAGCATACAAAGACATGGGAGGTATCCCAGCTCTGAGCTATGACTTTGGGCAAACTATTCCTTAAATATCCATTGCCTCATCTGTTCAGTAAGAATAAAAATGTCCATGGATTAAGTGCGAAATTCAAATAAGCACGATCTGACAGGACTGAAGCCTTAGATTGATAGCAGATGTGCTATGATTTGCATCTTAGAACAGTGCCAAGCTGCAACTACCTTTCTTAGCCATTGATAGGTTTCATATCTCTCTGAATGTGACCTCATGAACATGAGCCATCAATGTTTGCAAGAAGAATTATTTTTCCTGCAACCTCTCCTTCAATTTTTCCAGGTTTTTTTGTCACCTCTCACCTAGCATGTTCTCTTACAATGACTGATTGGGGGTGGAGGACGGAATATGTCTTCTGGAATCAGGAGCTGTGTCTCCTGATCCCATTTGCAGTGCGTATGACTACAGAAGGCAAAACCTGAAATCCCCTCTTCTCATCGGAGGTCACACAGAGCCCAAAGGGTTAAAACAACAGTCAAATGAGCTGCACACTACATCTCTAACAGGCTGTTCAGTGAGATGGCTACTTGACCACACTACTTTCCATGAGGTAATTGTCCCACATGCACCCTCTTTCCTTGGTAGAAGGTACATAACATATAAATAAATGATCAAGTTACAGAATGAACTCTGAATGACCAATTCTGGTTCAAGTAAAGCCCTTCCCCTACCCTGCAGTCCCTGATGATAAATCTTTCAGCAACAGGCTGATCCCTTTCCAAAAACAGACTGTCTAGCAATGTTTTCACCTTCTGTACTTGTCAGGATGGAGTGAGTGTGAGAGGGAGACCTGAACACACACACAACCGCAGACAAATGGCCTTGAATGGGTTTCCTCATTCAGGGCCATTTGGCTGATCCTCTGGCGGCTGCTGGGAGGAAGAGAAAAGGGAACAGGTTGCAATGTCAATAATAATAGCAAATGCAATAGACCATCTGCAAAAGGGAGCTGTTGATCTGACTTCCAGAGCATGCTGGCGACAAGGTTGAAAGGACAGGACAGAGCTCCTACTACTAAAATGAATGGCAATGTCATTTTCCATTTCTTCATTCTCTTAGTTTTCCCTTGGGGGTAAATTATTTAAAGTCTGTCGTGCGTCTTTGCAAATTTGCAAAACAACTTGTATGTGCTATCTCATTATACAGATATCCCAGGCCTGTTTGTATGCCATAGGAAAAAGGATATGAAGGAATTCGGGCTCCAATATTTCTCAAGGTGTTCTTTGGTGACAAGTTGCATGGGCTTCTAGGGGAGGGGGGTACGAAAGGGCTTAGAAAGCTGCTGCTCTGACCAGAAATGGAAACCACTCCCTCTCACAGGGAAGTTATTGTTGATAAACACCTTTCAGAGGCAGTCAGAGGATATAGAAATCGGATAAAGTTATTTTCCTTTGTCTTGTTTCTCTGGTTCCCTGGTGTTTGCTTTTTGCTCTAAATAAATTGGAGCAAAACTGCCTCAAAGTGACTAAAGTGACTAGTAAATCTCTACCTGTGCAGATCTTCTCTAAATGCCACCATTTCCTCCTCTTGCCCCTGCTAGGAGGTTCTAGTCTTGCGTCTGGCTAATGTCTTTCTGTAATCCAAAGCCTGCCTCTGTGACCTGATGGACCTGCCACTCGATCCTTAAACCTCGGCCATCTTGGGGCTGTGATTCAGATTTTTCCTGTTCGCCATTGGCTCTCTGGTCTGTAAATCTCTTGAGTTATTGACAGGGTCTTGGATAGTCCCTGCTGTGTCTTTGTGTGAATTTCCAAAAGCTCTCAGCTCTTGGCAGTCTAAGCAGAAAAGCATCCCCCTGTGGATTGAGGTGGCTGGCACCTGCCCAGCCCTTGGAGTGCAGGCTGGTCCTCAGCCCTCACTTGCATCCCTCCGCCCAGCACGCAGACACATGCTGTGGGCTGGAGAATGGCAACACCTCTGTCGTTTCTCTTTGCCTCAGGCCAAAGTGTCACAGGGAAGTCAGCTCTGACAGCGAGTCAGGCAGGGGTTGCTCTCCAGGCTCTTTTGACTGCTGTGTCAGGCCACCACAATGTCCTGGCAAGGACAGCTTAACTCTTGCCAAGGGAACTTTCATTTATTCATTCAAACACTGACTGAACACCTTTCAAGTGCCAGGCAAGTGTAAGGTGCTAGGGATATTGAGGGAGCACCAAGACAGATGTGGTCCCTGTGCTCATGCACCTCACAGTCTAAGTGTGGGACAGGCAAAAATGTGTGAGCAGGCAGGGTAATTTCATAATGTATGAGGGCTGAGGAAGTTATGACCAGACCGCAGAGAAAGAAAATAGTAGAAAAGCAAGGGATGGATTTCAAATGGAGCATTTGTGGTGAGATCAAAATGATAAGCATAAGCCAAGGCCAAGAGCATGAGTGGTCCATCTGAAAAACAAAAGCAGCATGCGTCAAGGCCACGAGGCAGAAAAAGACTGACATACTCCAGGAACCGAGGGGGCACTGGAGCAGAGGGTATGAAGCTCAAGAAGGGAGACACAAGTTAGGTCTTTGAAATGTGCACAACACAGCTTATTCAGGACTCACTAAGGCTTTCCAACTGCATTCTTGATGCAATGGAAGTAATTTGAAAGGCTTTAAGCAGGATATAACATGATTGAGTTTGAATTTATGAAGATCACTTTGGTTGACAGCTCTAGTTGCTGTAATTTGCTTTATCTGCCTTGCTCAGCACAATAATGTACCTTCCTGATTGGGAGCTGGCGCAAGGTTGATGCACCCCTACATTCACAGTCCCTGCCCCCCAACCCATGCCTTTTCCATTATGGCCCTATGCTTGTGCCTCCACAAAATACTGAGCTCCACATCTGTGAGGAGAGCCTCCTTGACTTGGTTTCCCCCTTAGCATTTCCCACTTTCCAAGCTTCAAGACATCCACAGGCTAACATTCTTGGGACACTTTTCCTACTCATATGAAACAAGTGGGGTTCCTGTTACTCTACTCTTTACCAAGACTCAAAAGTGGGCTCAAACTACCTGTGAACTTCACATAGTATATGTGTTAATCTAAAGACCAGAAATGCTGTTGCAAAATGTTTTACCTTTATGTAGGTACTAAAGACACATTTGCGTTTTTCTCCAAGTGTTCTGGCTCTTGCCAGACCACAGAAGGCCAGCAGCACGGTGGTCTGATGAGTGGATTGGAGTATGAGTCATCAGCAGGTCTTCCTGGAGACACTGCAGAGGCCTGACTGCATCTGGTGAAACTTCATTTTGACACAGGTGTTGGTGACATGGTCAAGTCATGTAGCAATGAGAGAGTCAGTTGCTCTTTTCCTTTGTGGCCTGTCTACACAGCTTCATGAGAGGAAGGGTGGGAAAATTTGTATCCCACTACTCAGAGATATTTTAAGAAGAATAAATCCAAGCACCTGGAACCTGAAGTCAAGTCATTTTTTTTTAATTCATTGGTATAAGGGAAATTTTGGAGACAAAAACGTACCCTAAAAGAGGATACAAAGCTTTCTTTCTGGAAGTCTTTGGGGGAAAAGGGACTTTCAAAGGTGTAGTATAGTTGGTCGAGTGAAAAACCCTCATGTAAGGCTTCCAGATTCAAATCTCAATCCTACCACTTCCTAGGCGAGTGATAGGATTACCACTGAGTCTGCTCAGGCTGCCATAATGAAATACCCTAGACTAGGTGACATAAGCAAGAATAATTTATTTTCTTACAGTTCTGGAGGTTAGAAAGTCCAAGATCAAAGTGCTGGCTAATTTAGTTCCCCAGTGAGGGCCCTCTTCTGGCTTGCAGATGGCTTGCCAACTTGCTGTGTCCTTACATGGAAGTGAGAGAGACAGAGACAGAGACAGAGACAGAGAGAGAAGAAGCTCCCTGGTGTTTCATCCTATAGGGGCACTAATCCCATCATGAAAGCCCCATCCTTATTACCTCATCTACCCCTAATTACCTCTCAAGGACCCTGTCTCCTAATACCATCAAATTATGGGTTAAGACTTTGAAAGATAAATTTTGGGGGGACACAAATATTCAGTCTATAGCATTGCATCCCTTTGCCCTCCAAATTAATCCCCTTATTGCACACAAAATACATCCAATCCCCCACAATAGCCCCAAAAGTCTTAACTGATTTGCAATATTATCACCTCAGTATATGTAAATCAGATATGGATGAGACTTAATATACACTTCCTCCTGAGAAAAAACTTCTCTCCACTTGTGAACCTATGAAACCAAACAAGTTGTATGTTTCCAAAATGCAGTGGTGGGAAAGGCATAGGATAGACATTCCTATTCTAAAGGAGAAATATTGGAAGGAAGAAAGAGGTGAGTGGTACCAAGCAAGCATAAAACGTAGGAAGGCAAATACCATTAAATCTTTTTTTTTTTTTTTTCTTTTTTAGATGGAGTCTCACTGTCACCCAGTCTGGAGTGCAGTAGTGCAATCTCAGCTCACTACAACCTCTGCCTCCTGAGCTCAGGCAATCTTCCTGCCTCAGCCTCCTGGGTAGCTGGGACCACAGGCATGCACCACAAGTCAGGCTAAATTTTTGTATTTTTGGTGGATACGACATGTCTTGCCATGTTGCTCAGGCTGGTCTCAAACTTCTGAGCTCAAGTGATCCACCTGCCTTGGTCTCTCAAAGTGCTGGGATTACAGGTGTGAGTCACTGAGACTGACCCCATTAGACTTAAAGGCTCAAGAATAATCCTCTTTGGTTTGCTCCTTCACCCTCCAGGCCCAGTGTGATGGCAAAATCTCCCTGACAGGGCAGCAGGGCAGCCTCATTCCTAAGGCTTTCTGTGGTAGCTCTGCCCACACATGGCTCTGCAGAGTTGTGGTCCAGCCATCTGAAACTTACGTGGAGGCAGTCTTGCACCCCTGGCCTGTGCACTCTAGACCAGTGATAGGATTGGCAGCCCAGATGAATTCTGAATTGTGTCTCTGGGTTGCTCTTTTCCTTTTCTTGAAAGACAGCACACGTGTGCAACTAGATAGTTTCATGATTCCATCAGGTAAAATCCAAAAAGTCTGACAGACTTGCTGCATTTTATCATGACTTTTATGTCCCCTTTAGTTCACACTGGCAGTGTCTCTGCTGGTATAATCTCATCTCTATTCCTGGCTTCTGTTAAGATGGCTAATTAAATGGAGAAACTGCATGCATGATCTCTATTATATTGTTGATCATTCATACTCTTAGTGTTCTTTTCAGAACAAGTTTTCTTTTCTTTCTTTCTTTTTGCAATATGGAGGATCTGAGAAATTTTCAGATCTTTAAGTTCTGGTTCTTTCTTGCTTAACAATTCCTTCTTCAATTTATCTCTTTCTTCACATTTTGCTGTAAACAATGAGGAGAAACCAAGTCACTCCTTCAACACCTGGACTGGAAATCTCCTCTGCTAAATATCCAATTTTATTACTCACGAGTTCCACCTCCCACAAAACATTAGAACACAAACACAAGCCAACAAGATTCTTTGCCATTTTATGACAAAGATCGCCTTTCCTCCAGCTTCCAGTAACATGTTCCTCATTTCCATCTAAGACCTCACCAGAATCTGTTAATGTCCATATTTCTAGCATACATCTCAAAACTCTTTCAGACTCTATTCATTACCCAGCTCCAAAGTTACTCCGTATGTTTAGGTAATTGTTACAGAAGTACCATACTTTTGTTTAACCAAATGTCTGGGCATCTTGTGGCCTAGTCAAGTTGACACATAAAATTAACCATTATAGCATCATGTCATATCCAAGATTGTCATCTTTATTACTTCCTTCATCTATAAAGCAGGGATAATATAAAATCAACCTCATAGTGTTGCTTTGAAGAGTCACCTTTTCAATACATACAAAGCATTTAGCAGTGCCTGGCCCACAGTGAGGACTCAGTACATGATGGCTATTATTTTTGTCACTAGGTTGTACACATCACCAAATAAAAAGTCTACAGTGAACTTCAGAATGTTCATAAATGAGTTCAGTTCACCCCTGATTATTCATAATGCTGTAATGCCAGGTGTCTTAGTTTTGAACATGTTATCCCAGGACAGTGTGATCTGGCATTGTATTGTTGAAACTAAAAACCCTTACTGGGCTTTTAGGGTTGGACTTTGTGTAAAGTAGTGAGTAATGCTAACTGCATTAGAACCACCTTCTAACTTGTAAAAAAATATATAGATTCTTAGGTTCCACATAAAACTTACTATAGCAGCACCTCTTTTCTGTTGTTGTTGAGATAGAATCTATGTCACTCCGGCTGGAGTGCAGTGGCATGATCTTGGCTCACTACAGCCTTCACCTCTCAAACATTGATCCTCCCACCTCAGCTTCCTGAGTATCTGGAACTACAGTCATGTGCCACCATGCCCAGCTTATTTTTTGTATTTTTAGTCGAGACAATATTTTTCCATGTTGCCCAGGCTGGTCTCAAGCTCCCAGGCTCAAGCAATCTGCCCACCTCAGCCTCCCAAAGTGCTGGGATTATGGACATGAGCTGGCCTAGTAGCATCTGTGGACCAAGGAGCCCAGGGCTCCGCAGTTTTAGCAAGAACCCTAGGACATTCTTAGGTACATTGTATGCTGAGAACCACTGTCTTAGTGGAACTTGGAGCAGGCTGCTGATTCATTATTTTCATCCCTTTGCTTTAGTAATGCACAGAGTCGACTGTGTTTTAACATTATCGTCCCATTTGAGTTTTTGTTAGTGTTTTATCCCTCTTGTGTTCCTCAAGTTGTAGATCATGTTCCTTCAGGGTGGGGTTCAGAACAGTTTTCTATGCTGGTTGGTCTTGTGGTCCAAGGCCTCCTCACCCCATGCTTGTTTACTGCTACTGAACACATCATTCACAGACAGTCCTGCCGACTCCCTCCTGATTTATCCTGTATTGTATTACTTTCTTTTCCTCCCCTTCTTGGTGATTTAAGAAGCTGTTTTTATTGTTCCTAGAGCCAACACATCTGTCATATATTTTCCTCCAACTTAAAAACATTGGAAAATCACTGGCTACTTAGCACAAAGTCCTGCTGGCACTGGATGATGCTTCCTTTTGTAATTGAGGCTCGCTTAGTGAGGCTGGACTTTCTAGGCTTCTGTTCTCCCGCTCCTTTGCTGCCATTTAGCCAAGGACCTTTAAAATCGGAGGAGACAGAGAGGCTTCTCAGCCTGGGTTTGTGTATATAATTGCTTCATTTTGTGAATTAAACAGTGTGGTTTATCCACAGTTTCCCATTTTTAAAAATCTATGCTCTGTCTATGAACATAGAAAATTGAGCCATAGTTTTAACTGAGAAAGTGATAGAGCACAAAGTATGTTAGCAATGGAGCAACATGGGCTAGATTGGAAATGACTGGTCTGCCTCTACTACGATTATATTAACAGTGAATTTCTTGCTAATCAGAAGTTGCAGAAATCAATTTTGTCTATCCAAAACAAAAAAAAGAATTTTTTGGAGGATGTTGGAGAGTTCCCAGAAACATCAGGCTTGACTTGCATGTAGGAACCATGGGAGCCTCTGTAGCTAGATCCTCTGGCAGAATGTAGGTAGGTGAGGGGTAGGGCCATGTCACTTCCAGGTTCAGAGCCCTAGTGGAAGCTTGGATTGGATGGGTTCCACCAGGTAACCACTCTCTCACTGCCAGAACCCTCCCCTTTTGGCCTCCGTAATGAAAGGTGGGCCTTCCTCCTCTCCATCAGAGTTCCTCCCAAATACACAGATTTGGTTGTTTTTTAGCCTCAAATGAAAAAAACCCACTCCAAACATGATGCACATTCCCTGTATTTCTACTGCAGTAATAATAATATCTGTCAATTACTTAGAATTCATTCTTTTTCAGGCATTGTGCTAACATAGAACCTTTAATCCTAACTGAAACCCTCTGAAAAAGATAGCAATGGATACTTTTTTGTAGGCAAAAAATTTGAGGCTCAAAGAAGTTAAATGACTTTCCTATAGCCATACAGGTGCCAAGTGATGAAGCCAGACTGTTCAGCCCCTGGAACTGATGGCTTGTCTACTCTGTTATGCTGCCACTTTATGTATTATCTTGCTTTCATTTTTTTCCTATATTCTAGTAAGTTGGGCAGATGAAACTTGTTTCTTAGCTATTACATCCACATCTGAGTAATGAAAGATATTAACAGCAGTTCCTCTAAGACTCCTTCTATCTGTGACATTCTAGGTTGCTGTAACTGTATTCTGACAGCTACCATTTTACAGTGGCATTGAGTATATAATTTCAGAACAGATTAGGACAATGTCAATGGAAACATTATTGCTATCAAGTGTGATGCTGTTTCTTTTGGTATCATGCAGCCTTCCTTCCCTGTAAGATTGTACTTCTCCTACCAAGTTAGGTCCCTGAAATCTGTTAGGAAACTAAATGCAGGCCTGTGTTCCTGTAGAAGTGGCTGCCAAACATACAGTTTCTGCTGTCTGGTTGGTGACATGCTGATCAACCGTTGTCCTTCTAAATGAATACATCTCAGCATAGACTCAAGGGAGCATTTTCAAAGAACAAAGTGTATGTGTTCACCATTTTTATGTGGACAGGGTGGCTATTCAAGTAATAACTCTTGATGTTCTCTTGGGTGTATGTGGTTTTAACTAGAAGCTAAAACC